TTCTTACTGCAACTGCATGTTTAATCAACATTGCCAGACTGCATCCTCAATTGCTCCTGATTCTTCTGTTTTAGTGAACATTTCTACCCACATTTCGTTCGTTATCCTTTACAAAATCTTTTCAAATTCTTGACTTGCGTTTGTCATACAATGAATTTAATATGACTTCACATTAGCTGCGTTTGTTTCTTGAGTTATTGCATCCATTAACTCTTCTGGTAACGAGGGAGTCTCGTAGGAATTTGAAGTATGTAAAATGGTAATGAGGATGGATACGAGGATTAACTTTTCAAGAAACAATTATGAGTTATTATGCAAACGCACTACATACAAATATGTTTTGGCAAATATTCTATCAAAATAATATATGCATATATGCATTTTGTTGAAAATGTGTTGATAATATGCATTCAAAATTTTTGCAAATATGATTAAAATTAAAAATGAATTTGAATGTTCAAAACATTTAAATTCATTTTTTTTATATGTTTGGAATTCTTTAATTTATTTGTGAAATAATTACAATTACAATGTATTTATATTCTTATACATACATCTGTATATTCATATTAAAAGAAATTTTTCCAGTTTGAGTTTTGAATAAAAATCATTAATTAAACTAAATTAAATCGACAAAATATATAAAACTAGTTAAAGTTTTGCAATATATTGCTTAATTGTTCCTCTACATTTATTATTAAGATAGTCCTTATAACAACTCTGCATTTCTTTTTGCTACTGTCAATATAGATTAATTCTTAGAAAGTGTACTCATCAGCACCAGTTGACGCTCTGGACGATACACATTCCTGGCAGTAGACCCCAGCATATATGTTAGTACTGTTGACTCTCTAATTGAGGTATCGTCTTATAAATTGAGTAAAAGGCACTAACCAAATATAAATTTTGATTGAAAGATTAGAGATTGAAATGGTAACATATAGATCATTCTTTCACAAATCGGACACCTTTTTGACCACATCATCTCTGATTTGGATAAATTATTTTTGTAAGCTTTCTAAGAACATTGACGTTTCGAATGTATGAATGTATGTATGTAGAATTTAATGATAAATTCAATTCAGAAATAAAAACTAAACATTTTTGTATCATTTTTTGTGGAAAAGTGATTTAATGATATTATTTATATTATATTATGATATAATTTCTTTAAATACTTCTAAAAATAATATCACACTGAAAATATTTATTTTTTAAGCACAAATTATTGATTAATCCATCAAAAATAGAAATTTTTCTGATATGTTCTGGTTCGTTTTTTTTTACTAAAAGATCGTGTGTATGTGTTTAAAAAATAGTTGTAAGGACAATCACATTCTGAAAATTTCAGGATTTATGTAGAATTATATTATGAGTCGCAATCAAAATTATCATGTAAGCATTTTTGTAATACACTCTTTGATAATTCATTCATCGGAAATATAGTACGCATATGGAGATATGGACGTTTAAAAATGTGTGTACAATGCTAATTGTCAAAACGCCGTCCCGAGATACGGATCTTCTTCTTTTATGAAATGGACTAGTAAAAATAATTTTTTCCAAATCGGACATGATGAAGTCAAGAAGGTGTCCGATTTGTAAAGGCTTGCATTTTTTCAAAGTGGCATGATTATTGTTTTATAATTGCTTACATATAACTGGGGTCATACAAATTTACTATATTATTAATATCACAGTCTATGCCAATAAATATTATTATGTTAACAATGCAAAAATAATAAATGCTTAATGAAATCTTTGGCGGTCCAAACTTGCTGAAATACTTTAAAATAGATAATAAAACATAATTATATGGTTATTACATTGAAGAAAAAGCTCGATGAAAATTATCTGAAAACTCAGGACCGGAAAATCTCTTTCAAGTTCTATCAAATGTGAAGACCCTTTACAGTGTGAGTTTTTAACAACTGGTTGTACTGTTAATAACGAGTATTATCTACTTTTTACAAATTCTTCCTAATTGCTATCAGAAAATCAGTATAAAGCGACCCTAATTTGAATTATCACGTGAACGAATAAGCCATACCGCTTGTCTGTTCCCACAGTTTGTACTGTACCATTATAAATCTGTAATGCTTTCCTTAATTTTTTTTAAATATGCCACCCTATGACTCTCTTCTATTTTCCGAACTCATAAAGATTCTCGAAACTAAGCCTTCATTTTAAGAACAAGTGAGGTAAAGATGAAATCGTATAGCAACCTCAAAAGCGCAACTTAAAATGGTTAAGAAATACTCCCACAATGTTTTTTAACCCGAAAAAGAAGTTGGCGTAAATGCATAAAATCAAAGAGGAATTAATGTGAAAAGGATTGAAAAAATATTACAATTTAAAAAAATACTTTATAAAACAAACAAAAAGCGAGAATTTAAAAATTAATTTTTGAATCACAATTTCCAAAATTTTCATCTCAATAAATTAATCTCAAACCATATTAGGATTTTATTCAAAGTTGTTAAAGTGCAGCCAAAAGATTAAAATGAAATAAATAAATGTGATAGCTACAAGAGAATATTATTTTTACAAAAATTTCATACGAGTTATGCCCTAAATGGACTTATATATCAATATTAATAACAGATTAATAATGTCTTTGGAAGCCAGCATAACAAAGGTTTTCCAAATTCATAATTTCGTTACATATTCATCAAATAAACAAATGGAAAAGCTTCAAAAGAGAAAAATGTAGAATACAAGCTTTCCATCACTACAAATCAAAAAATATATATGTATATAGAATAAAAGAGAAAAATAAAGGGACAATGAGAAGTGTCCTCATTGTCCGAGTTTAGTAGGCTTCGCCAAGCAATTTGATCATTGACATCCTGTCAAGGCTAGTAGAATCGATTGTCTTCATATTATTATTATAATATATTATTTATTTATTATATTAGTTATTGTAGCTATCCAGATGGGATCCCGCATTGACTGTGTGACAGATTAATGAGGGAACAATGACAAGGATAATACCGGCATTTAGCTAGTTTTATGCAATCAAGCAATTTGTAGATAACCTTATTACCAACTATTGACCCGCTCCACAGTTCTAAGACTCAATGCTTTCAACTACAAACTCAACTATTAGAACTAAGTCATTGTATAAATTTAAATGGAACCCATTTTGATTAATGAGTTAGAAATGATCATGGAGAATAATTGCCATATTTGTTAACGCTTATTAACACTTCCTCCGTTTTTAGAGAAAGTACTACTTATGGAATATTTCGAACAAAAGAAAGAATTTTACTTGTAATTCCACTGAAAATAAAAGCAAAAGAAAATCTGACAAAAAGAAAGAAAAAAGTAAAATAATGACACAAGTGCCTTTATAAAATGTTTACTTGCTGTAAAAAGCTTTTGCGTCAATGAATGTCAAGGATAATATCACGCTCCTTTGCTGCGATTATAGTACTTATGTCACAAGTGACGATACTTCAATTGCAGTACTTCTGAACAAGAAAGCTGGAGTGGAGTAAATGTCAATTGTTAGACGCTTCATGTTAAACTTGACTGACAGAGTTTCACTTAAATGCACAAAACTGATATAAATAAATAAAATTCTATCCAAACACCATTTAAGGATATGAAAAGTTGTTAAGTTCAAGCAAAAAGAAGTTTCCATTTAAAATAATTCAACTAAAAGACAAAGTTTTGGAATTTAATTGAAAAGTT